CTTCTCTCCTGGGGAGACATTTGACAGGACATAACTCTACTGCAGAACCTGGAGACTGTTTCCTAGAAATCTTTTCTATTGCCTCCCTCAAATTCATTAAATTTCTCATAATCGTCTCAAATTTTTAGGGAAGAAATTATTTGCCAACTGCTGGGGTGAAGCATGGAAATTCTTCAAAAGGATGACATCTCAGCTAAAATTATGTCTTTCGTAAGCACTTGTGTGTCCTGGGAATATGCTTTCCATTTTGGCCTGTCTTCCTTTAAGGAATGTTCTTGTTGGGCAAGTATAAATCATATGAGCTTTATTGTACGTAGTCTTTGTGAAATACACTTTCATGTTTAGCCCCTTGACACATGTATGCAGTCACTCCATTACCCTTTTGTTCCCCATGATCTCAAAGACCAGTTCGGAGTGACTGAGATCAGTAAGTTGTGCGCATCACTGATCTGCCTCCTTGCGGGGCCCAGCAGGCCTTCAAGTGTCGCAGTGCAGTTAACTTCAGAGCCGGCCTTCTGCCCCGGTGATCGCCTGCTTTCACTAATGAGCAGAATAATTCATCCACATGCTGCCGGGCCTTCAATTCCATGCAAATGCCCGAGGAAGGATTTTGTCTTCTTGGGAACAGCTTGCTCTTTAATAGATTAACTGTCCAATTTATGATTCTCAGCTTAGATCAGGTTCTGGTGGGTATTTTATTTTATTTTAAAATATGTTTTTATTGATTTCAGAGAGGAATGGAGAGGGAGAGAGAGATGGAAACATCAATGATGAGAGAGAATCTTTGATTGGCTGTCTCCTGCATGCCCCCCACTGGGAATTGAGCCCACAACCCGGGCATGTGCCCTGACCGGGAATCGAACCGTGACCTCTTGGTTCATAGCTTGATGCTCAACCACTGAGCAACACTAACCGGGCAAGTATATAATTTCATTATCACACCACTTCAGTGCCATAAGAAGGGACCACTTTCAATCTCTGCTTTAATTACGGCTAAATTATTTACTTCCATTATTACCCTTGGCATCAAACATGAAACACAGATATTGGTTTTTGCTTTATTTTCAAAAATTTTTTTCCCTTGAAGAAAGGAATCTAAAAAAATTAAAATTTATTTTCCATCTAGCTCTTCTTTCTTGATCCAGGAACATTTGAGATGATCATTAATGTCGGGTCATTTCTAACTCAGCCAACACAATTGTTGAATTTGTGGTTTTCAGCAGATTTGCAGTTGGGCTTTTCATCTTTGACTAATGATTGCTTGTAGGCCTTTGTGGCATATTTATTTTCCTAACATTTTAAATAAATAGTGAACTGTCATGGAAACCAGTGCTCGTTTCTCTCTCTCTTTCTCTCTCTCTCTGTGTGTTTTGGTTGTTTTTCTGCAACTATGATTTCAGCTGCTACTCAGGAGTGTGAAATACCTAAGTACATTTGGACTGGGCTATTGTAATGAGCAGATTGACACAGATGTTGGGGGGATCTTCCAAGGGGGATTTGCTAAGATTATGGAGAAAGAACAGTCAATTAATTAATTCACTCACTCACTTGTATATTTCTCCAGTGAGTTTTACTGAGGTCCTACTATGTGCCAAGTTCTAGGTAGTTTGGTCATTGCTATAAAAAAGGCAGGTGGATGTTGGCCGAGTGGGACCAGGATTAAAAGAATAAGAAGGCAAACAAGCATATACTTACAAAAGGTGTATAGCCCGACTGGCGTGGCTCAGTGGTATTTGTTAGTATCACCACCAACCTCATCAGAAAAGTCCTGAAGTATTGGAAAGCTGCCAGACTCATGGGAGTAAATACAACTTTTCTAAAATTCTAATTTCCCCTCAGAAGCTTGAACTTTAGCATTTTGTGACAAGTCCTGTCTGTAGTTTTCCTTGGAAGGACAAACTCACTTTCTTCATTTTCGAGAAGATGTCTGCCAAACAAGCACATAAAACGCTGCTAGTTCAGTCCTTGACACCAACCATCATCCAGGTGCTTTTCCCATGAAGACCATTGTACTCGGCCATGCAGCCTGCATGCTTCCTGCTGTGTCATGACTTGGTTCAGTGAAACTGACATTTGAAGAACATTTTACATTTACTTATCTACTAGAGGCCCGGTGCACGAATTTGTGCAGGGGTGGGGTCCCTCAGCCTGTCCGATGTTCGAGGTGTATCGAGGGGCTGGCCGGCTAGGGGGAGGGACCACAGGAGGTTGGCTGGCCGGCCCCCCAATTGGGGCCGATGGGGGGACCGGCCACGGGGGCGGGGGAGGGACCGTGGGAGGTTGGCCAGCCAGACCCCCAATCAGGGTAGGGAGGTTGGCTGTGGGAGCGCACTGACTACCAGGGGGCAGCTCCTGCGTTGAGTGTCTGTCCCCTGGTGGTCAGTGCGCATCATAGCAACTGGTCGATCAATCGTTCCAGTCTTTCAGTAGTAATGGTTGCTTAGGCTTTTATATATATAGATTTTAAACTGTGAGTGTGTGATGGTGAAGGATACAACTTTATTTTCATTTATTTTTTGATTTTTTTAAGAGAGAGAGAGACACACATTGATTTGTTGTTCCACTTATTTATGCATTCATTGGTTGATTCTTGTATGTGCCCTGATGGGGGATTGAACACATAACCTTGGCCTATCAGGATGTTGCTCTAACCAACTGAGCTACCCAGACAGGGCACAGTAACTTCTAGGATAGTCGGAGCCACTGCCTTGACTTCTGCTAGGACACCAGTTTTTTTTTTTTTTTATATTTTATTGATTTTTTACAGAGGAAGGGAAAGGGATAGAGAGTTAGAAACATCAATGAGAGAGAAACATCGATCAGCTGCCTCCTGCACACTCCCTACTGGGTATGTGCGCACAACCAAGGTACATGCCCTTGGCCGGAATCGAACCCGGGACCCTTGAGTCCGCAGGCCGACGCTCTATCCACTGAGCCAAACCGGTTAGGGCAAGGACACCAGTTTTATCCATTGATACACACGATCAGAAGACAACTAAGTCATGTCTTAGTATTGTTCTAAAAATAGTTTTGACCTCACAGACCACATGTTGAGGCCCTCTGCTTCAGTCTTGCATTCAGCAGGTATTTATTGCAAGTTTCCTCTGGACCAGTTCATGGGAGAGATGCTCAGTGCACAACCTCAAGATATGTTTGGGTGTTTCTCATTTAGTAGTAACCAGAATCAATCGAGAGCGTAACAAAGAGACTTGTTGCAAAGCTGTTCCAGGATTAAGGTAAACCAACAAGAGATGATCAAGGATCCAGGACTAATAGCCCCTAGTCTTGGAGGGGGAGTGGCAAGCTATGGTTCCCAGATTTGGAGAGTGCAGCCTTCGAGGAGATCTGGTCTTCAGGAGAGGGAGGCAGGCAACCTGCCGTGACTCCTCAGGGAGGGACCAGGAGCAAACACCCCAGCCTTTCTCCTCTTACCCCTACGTCATACCCAACTGGAAGCCCCTGGACAAGGGAGTCTGCGCTTGCAGTTCATCCAGGTCAGCCACTCCCTGCACGGGGCCATGTGAAGGAGGGGTGAGAACCGGTTTAGAGGGGCACACGGGGACTACGTATTTGGCACAGAACTTTATAATTTCATTGAATCCTGGCAACTCAATGAAATAAGTGTTAGTGTCTCCCCCATTTTGCAGATGGACGAAATGAGTCTGGAGTAAAGCAACATTGGCAGAGTCTGGCTTTGAACCAGATTCTGACTCAGACCTCTTAGCCTCTCCACCACATTGCCCAGCAGCCAGGTAACATGGGTTCCTTCAGCCCACTGCTTACAAGGAAGAGTTGAGTAAGTAAAGCTACTTGCTGGGAAGTCTTTGTTCCTTAATTACAAGACTCCACATTGCCTTCCTGTTCCTCCCACTTACTATTCTTCTGGCCAAACACTCCCCAGAGAGGGCAGGACAGGGCAGAATTCAGTCCAAAACTCACAACCTCGTCCAGCAAGCTCCCGGGGTATCATTGCTGGGTCCCATGAGGAGCCTTCTCACCATCCACTCCCACCTTGGCTGCCCTAGGGATGCCCTGCCCAGGACACGGGGTGCATTTCAATGAGTTAAATAAAAACAACCATGATAACCAAAACAAATTCAAACTGCATGGGTCCTGGGGGAAAGAAAAAAAATCAGGAAAATTGGACATCTCATCATTCATTTATTTGCACAGTCATTAAACATTTCTTATTTATTTTTCTTTTCTAAAAATATTTTTAAAAATATCTTTTAAATGGTTTTTAGAAAGAGGAAGAGAGAGGGAGAGAGAGAGAAACATTCATGTGCAGAGTGAAACATTAATCAGCTGCCTCCTGCATGCCCTCTACAGGGGATTGAACCTGAAACCCAGGCAAGTGTCCTGACTGGGAATTGAACCGGCAACCTTTCGGTGCACAGGACGACACCCAACCAACTAAGCCACACCAATGAGGGCAAAGTCTATTTTATTTGATAATAGTATAGCAAATTCAGCTTCCTTATAGTTATCCCTTGCCTTTTAAAAAAAGACGATTTTTGCCTAAACCGGTTTGGCTCAGTGGATAGAGCGTCGGCCTGCGGACTGAAAGGTCCCAGGTTCGATTCCGGTTAAGGGCATGTACCTGGGTTGCGGGCACATCCCCAGTGAGAGATGTGCAGGACGCAGCTGATCGATGTTTCTCTCTCATCGATGTTTCTAACTCTCTCTCTCTCTCCCTTCCTCTCTGTAAAAAATCAATAAAATATATTTAAAAATAAAAAATAAAAAAAGATGATTTTATCACAAATGCATGCAGCCATACTAATATATTATTAGTTGTGTATGTCTTGAGTTTTATAAAAATGGTGCCACATTATAAATGTCTTACTGGATTTGCTTTGTTTTACGTGCTATTTTGAAGACTCATCTATGCTGTTGTATGTAGCTAAATTAATTTATAGGTATATACAACACTGCTGTACAATATTTCATGGCGAGACCCTACTTTAATTTATCCATTCTCCTGTCACTGTATTTGGCAGGTTTCCAGTGGTTTGCTACTACAGACTTATTGCTGCTGTGTACAACCTTCTACACAGCTCTTGATTTAGGAGTTTCTCTGTCCTCGCAGTAATCTGCGGCATCAGCAAAGGCTTGGAATTTGTTAGAAATGCAAATTCTGGCGCCCCACCCCAGGCCCGCTGAAATAGAACCTGTGGGGGCGGAGTCAGCAATCTGTTTTCACAAGCCCTCCAGGTGATTCTGATGACAGGTAACGTTTGAGGAGCAGGGCTAGGGTGTAAACCGGAAGTGAGATTTCTGGAACTCAGGCAACCGTTTGTTTTCCACAGTGGTTGGTCCATGTTAAGTCCCATCAATGTATACGAGTTCCCATGGGCACACACCCTCTCAGCACTTAGGGTTGTCAGATTTTCTTCTTTTGCCCACTGAGTGGGTCTGTGGTCTCCACAGAGCCCTGGGGGTGGCGGTTTCTCCTCCCTTGGTCTGGCGGCTTCCTGTCTCAGAACCACGGCCACTCTGCGCATCAGCAGCTCGCTGTCCCCATGGATAAAGGCCTCTCTTCCCCGTGGGTTTGTTTTGACAGGAGTACATGCACCACCTGCTCCGCCTGGAGCACCGCGCGGAGGAGCAGTTCCTGGAGCACTGGCTGAACCCTCACTGCAAGCCCCACTGCGACAGGAACCTGGTCCATCCCGTGTAAGGGGCTCGGGATCCGCTCGGGTATGTGCATTCTCTCAGGCCTTCTGTTTCAGGGAGACTGCAGTGTACGGGCTCAGAGGCCTCCCAGAACATGGCACCAGAGAAACAGCTGTTTATGCTGAAGGAGCGAGGCAGGGGGGATAGGTGGCAGCCAGTTTGCGAGGGGCCCTGGGGGACACCCAAAGGACACTGATCCCTATCAACTCACCAAGAGATCCCAAATAGGGGAGGTCATTCTGGAGTACAAATCGGACAAGTGTGCTTGTTGAGGCGTGGGTCTGACCAGGTGGGGGCAGCACCCATGGGCTCAGCCAGTGACCCCCCCCCCCCCCCATCACTATCCTCACCACTGTCACCAGGATCAGCAAGTCCTTTCCTGCCTTCCCTCCAGGCTGGAAATGTGCCCGGCCTATCTTCCCTCTTCCTCTGGGTTTAGTCTTTGGTCCCCCTGAGCAGGTCTGCTTGGCCCTCCCAGTACCCCTGCTTACCCTGCTCCCCCCCCCCCCCCATCCTGCACCGCGTTCTTACATGAGCCTGTTGTTTCTTCCCTCACTGTCTACATCCATCTCCTTCCCCCTTTCCAAATCCTCTTAGATAAAGTAGCAAATCCCTTGCGAGGTTAAGCCTAGTGAATGTCACTCCTCCTCTATAACTTTGGGATGAAGCAGGGCAGGGTGCAGTTGGGCAGACTGCCATCTGTGGTTAAGAGAGATCTTATGTCTTTGTGGTAATTTTGTGCTACTGTGAATGGGCTCAGAACACGCCCTTCTGAGCATCGCTCTTTGTAATTGTCAGGATGCTCTCACCCAAGTTCTCTCACTTGATCCTCTTCAGACTCCTGTGTCATTTCAGGGTGTGCATTTTAATCCGGTTTTATAGAAGGGCTCACTGAGCCTGATGAAGCTACTGCCTGGTGCTGGGCGGTGGTTGGTATGTCAGCCTCTGACCACTCCAGTTCTGTACACTTTATGTGAGGTGGTGAGGGGTCCTGTGTGTGTGTGTGTGGGGGGGAGTCCCTCTGAGGGGCTTTAACAGAAGTTCTGCTTTCGAGGGGTCGGGGGAGGCCTTCCTGTTCCCATTCCTGCAGCCTCAGGAGCCTGCTCCTCCCCTTGCACCAGGGACCCTGGTCCTCCAGCACTGGAAGTCCGAGCTTGGCTTCTTCCAGAAAATACAACCGGGGAGCAGTTAGGAGCTCAGACTCTGGAATCGGGCAGACTTGGGTTCAGCTTTCTGTGTTTCCGCTCTGTGGCCTTGGGCAAGTCGCCTAACCTCTGTGAGTCTCCATGTCTGCACCAGTAAACTGGGGCAATAACGATATCTGTGGAGCCTGGCGCAGTCAGTGCCTCCTCGATTGGGGGCACTTATTACCACTGCGTAGGCCCGGCAAGAGGAGGGGTTATGGGGGTGAGTGAGCCCCAGGGCAGCACCCTCGGGGGAGCAACTGAGGCCTCTGCCTCCGGGATGGACAGGCCTTGCTGGTGAGCTGGAGTGGGGGTGGGGTGGCTCCTGAAAACAGGATCCCACAGAGGCCTCCCTCCTAACAGCTCCATTTACATGAGGACGAGGATGCTGGGGGCACTGATCAACTCGGAATCAGGAGTCCGAGAGCGAATGCGACTCCACTTGGGGAAAATTGCCCCGAGTCTCTCTCAGGCTCCTCATCTGTGAAATGAGGACAGTGAGAGCGCCTCCCTCATGTGGCGGTTCTGGGTCTGAGCATGAGAAAAGTCAGTGCATGGAAAGCAGGCTGTCTGGCAAGTCATAGCACGGGCTCAGGAAGTGACAGCCATCCTCTCCTCCTCCTCCTAAATCCCCCCCTCTCCTCCTCCTCCCGCCCCTCCTCACCCTCCATCCTCGTCAACATCATGTTCACAGTATTTTCTCGTTCTTTCCCAGGGAGCCCTTTGACAACATGGACCTGGATAATGGCGAAACAGGAGGAGGCTCCTTCTTGCATTTAATTTTTTCAGCTGCGGAAACGGATGTCTGATCAGACCTTATGAACTGTGGCCATGGCGAAGATTGCCGTGGGGATCGATGGCAAGCGCACGTGTTGCTTCACTTTACTAACCTGCATCACTCACTGAGACCAACTGCTTAAAGTAGTGACAACCCCTCCCACCCCAGGGAAGGGTAGGCAGCACGAGAGTCTCACAGTGGCAGATGGAGCTGGGCCCCCAGAGCCTGGGGACAGGCTGCCTGCTCCCAGGACGTCGGGAGGTCTAGTTGGGCAGAGTGAAGCCCCTGGGGCCGCCAGGTGTGTGGTCATCTAATTTTCTCCTTCTCTTCTGCTCTAATAAACATCAGTGTTCAACCTGCTTTCTGTGGTGTCTCCTTTCCTTCCCCTCCCTTCCCCTGCCACCCCCGCCCATCCATTGTTTGTCTTTGTGAATCCAGAATCAGAAAACTCACTGTTCTTGGAATAAATGAATGGGTGAAAATACAAACACCCAGCAATTTTTCATAAGAGCCATCTTTTTTTTGGTGTGTTAATCCTCAGCTAGGATATTTTTTCCATTGCTTTTTAGAGAGAGTGGAAGGGAGGGGAAGAAAGAGAGTGAGAGAGAAACATGGATTGGTTGCCTGCTGTACATGCCCCAACCAGGATCGAACCCATAACCTAGGTATGTGACCTGACCAGGAATAGAACCTGGAACCTTTTTGGTGTAAGACAGGACCATGCTCCAACCAACTGAGCCACCCGACTGGGCAGCTTTTTTTTTTTCCCCCCCTGCAAAAGCTTTATTGTTTCCATTTGGTCCAATGCATGGGAGAGGGCTCTGGGATGGTTAAAAGGCTGCCTAGTGGTTCCAGGGGGATGCAGAGGGGCCCCTCAAAGGCCTCAGCTCCAAAGGCTCCTAGTCGTGCTGGAGGGTGAGCCTTTCGAAGGGATACTCGCCCAGCCCAGCCTGGGGCCGGCAGCCTGCGGAGGTGGGTCAGGTGTCGCCCGTCTTCTTGATGAGTTTCACCTCCTCACCCCGGAAGTGGTTCTGCAGGAAGTCACAGAGCTGAGGGTCTTCGGGGGCAGAACCCAGGGCCTGCAGCTCCAAAAGGGCCTGGGTCAGGTTCCTCTCCAAGGCCAGGCTGGCTTCCATGGTCCTGAGTTTTGCCCACTCGTCTTGGGAGGCTTCAGCGCGTCCTGGAGGAAAATGCGGCCGACACGCTGGTTTTGCATCTTTAAGAGACGCTCTGCGCCCTCACATCGCGCTTCTTCTCTGCCAAGTCGGAAGAAGTGGTCCCGCCCTCGAGAGCCACATCCTCGGGTGGAAATAGAAGCCCAGAGAGAGGTAGGTGCAGGGGGCCCAGATGCAGGCTGGCCAGGCGGTTGACGGCAGCCTCCACCTCGTGGAATAATTCTCACGAATTTGGGAGCTCATGGCTGTTCGGCAATAAGGAGTTAAGATAAAAAAACGGTGTCTGGTCTTGGAGGTGGAGGATGGCTGACGTGGTTCCAAAGGCGGTGACTGGAAAAGAGGTGGGAGGGGGTCAGAGGCTGGAAGAAGGGGTGTCCCTGGGTCTGCTCCGTCCAAACATGGCTGAAGCGAGAGACAGATCCGGGGGCCACGGCAAGCATATGCTTTTCAGAGTCGTCCACTTTGTAGTATGTCAGTCCTTCGTTCGGGCCTTTCTGTGGCTGACTGATATCCCATTGGGTGGAAACACCACATTCGGTTCATCCGTTCATCCGTTGATGGACATTGGGGTTCTTGCCACCTGCCGGCTGTTGCGAATAGCGCTGCTATGAACATTCGGGCCCACATTTGTGTTTTGAGTCTCTGTTTTCAAGTCACTTGGATATATACAGTATCTAGGAGTAGAATTGCAGGTCACAAGGCATTCGATGTCTAACGTTTCGAGGAACCACCAAACTGTTTACGCCAGTGGCTGCGCTATTATACATCCCCACCAGCATTGTCCGAGGATTCCACGTTCTCATCCTTGCCAACATTGGTTATCTTTTTAAATGACAGCCACCCGAGGGGGCGTGAAGGGGTATCTTATTGTGGTTGTGATCGCATTTTCCTAATGACTAGTGACATCGACCGTCTTTTCACGTGTTTATTGGCCATTTATGTATCTTGGGAGAAATGTCTATTTAAATCCTTTACCCATTTGAAAATCCAATGGCTGCCTTTTGGTTGTTGGAGGGCTGGTGTTTTTGTAGTGGCGAAGAGCAGAGCGTACTTGAAGGTGGAATCTTGGACAAGTAACTGGAGCTGTCCTGTCTCAGCTCCCCCTTCTGTGAAATGAGGACAGTAATAGAACTTACGATAAGGGATGGTTGTGAAGATTAAATGACTGACTGTGTGTAAAGCGCTTGGAACTTCGCTTGGCGCAGAGTCAGTTCGTGCTATGCAATTGATAGCCCTTATTACACATGAGATGAGACTAACAATAGTAACTAAACAAGAAATCACCAGATTCATAACCGCTGGGAAGAAAACACGACAGTGATGCAAGAGAGTGACTGGAAGGCTATTTTAGGTTGGGTGGACAAGGAAGGCTTTTCGGAGGAGGTGACACTTGAGCTGACACCGGAATGACAGGAAGGAGCCAAGTGCGTGAAGATCCACGTACAGGAAGAGCATTCCCGGCGGAGGGAACGGCTAGGGCTCAGGTCTTAAGACAGGAACAGACCTGGCCAGTTCAAGCAACTGCTTGAGGGAAGGACAGGGCCTCTGGGGTGGTGGTGGGGGCTGGGCTTTCCTGTGAGGGGATCCTGGGTGGCAGTGACAGCAGGAGAGCCGTGAGCTTTGGAGTCAGGAAGCCTGGGTGCCAGGTCTCTTAGCTGGGAAACTTGGGACAAGTTACTTAGCCCATTTGGAAAAGCCCTGTTTTCTCATGGTAAAAGTGGGGCTGGTTGCCTGGCCGGTGT